AGTCTCAGAAGAAACTGACGTAAAATAAAGTGCAGTGTGCAGTACAGCTGGACAAAGAATTAGAAACTATACTGTGATGACAATATCTATATTGGAATAGAGATAAAATATGCAAACTTTTTCCTCTTTGCTAAATTTCAATGATTTTGATAGAGATACTTGGAGATTCCCTAGGCAATTATTCTGTATGGTGCCAGGAAATTAAGCAACAGTCTCCTCTCAAGAGGAGGTTCCACTGCTGGGACAGATAGATGTCAGCCAAAGTAGTGAAATCATTTTATTTCCATCATCGGGGATCCAGCTCTATTTCTTGTCTCTTCTTCCTCCTCCACAATTTTTTGTTCTCTTTACGCTGTGTTCTTTCAATATTGGTAATGAAATTATTTTCTTTTCTTCCACCTGCCATGTATAATTTTGTATTGGCTCCGTTTGCCAAAATAATACAATTTTCTGGTGATATGGAAATGCATCTTGAAATTAAACCTGTTCTGTAGCAGCAAAATATTTCTCTGAAAAATAATATATACAGCTCAAATTTTAGAGATCAGTATCTCCTCTCCAATTGGGCTGTCAGGGCCATTGTTTTGGCCTTATTAAAACAGGAACATTTAGTACTTTTAATTGTATTTTATTCTACTACAAAACACCAGGGCTTTCACAAAGATGTTTTTCTGCACCAGACAGAAACTGCACAGAGTCAGAAGCTGACAATTGAGAGAATGTGATCTGATGACATTATTCAGTGAGTCAGTGCATCTACTCAGGCATGAAAAAGAAAAGAACTGAGTTTTAATGTGGTATGTACTGTCACAGGATTATCAAAGGAAATACAAGTGGGACACAATGTGCAGCTACATTAAATCCCTTAGCATTTGAGTTCCTCTGTGCTGTGCTTTGTAAGCAGAACATAAGAAACCTTTGGAGCACCAGCAGCATGTGGCACAGCCTGCATAAACTAAAGCAAAAGCCTTTGTGAATGCAAATCTCCTGTGGCAAAAGTACAGCTGTTCTGGCCCATGAAATTAGAGTCTAACTGCAAAGTTGAAAGTCCAGTTCATTCTAGGATTCAAACCTTTCTACTGTTGAATGCTTTGTGATGTTGGGATTTTTGCTCGAGGATCCTCTTAATGAGTAGGATTTTTTAATGGCAGTAAGAAATATCAGCCTTTGGTCCACATGTCTTGTAATCTGTAATTAATCAAATGCCATAAAAATTTATAGTACATTAAAGGTTATAATTTTCCAAATGCACTGAGAAATTAATTTTATGCCATATGGCAGATCTTCAAACACCCAACAAAATAAGTTGCTATGTTTTGGAAGCAGGATGTGTGCTCAGGCACAGATGCTTACCTTTTCCTTTAAAAAAAATCTTCTCTTGAAGATCCACAATAATAAACAAAAACATTTCTAGAGACTATCAGAAAACATTCTATAACAAACTACTGCTCTTCTTGTCCACAATGAGCTCCTTCTGTCATTAAACTTATTTAAGTAAATTGAAGAATACAACTCTTGTAAATGTGTGCTGCATCCTCTGTTAATTTGAAAAAAATATTGAAAAAAAAAATGTTGACTTGGTTAAAAGCAAACCGGAGAGGGGAAGAAAGAGGAGAGAGAGAGGGTGGGGCCTAAATGCCACTATTCCTCTACCTTGTGTTTCTCTTTTCCCTGCATTTGTAAGGTCATTCTATAAAATCAGGTTTTATCAGACCCAATTACGTAGCATTTCCCTGTATAATTTTACCTGACCTGGTTTGGTTTTTTAGGTAAACAAAATATAGCAAAAAAACCTTAAAAAATCATTTAGACATATCATTCTGGTAAATGCAAGTTGCAAGTTCAAGTGTCACTTTCTATTTGTGGTTTTAACCTGAGTCTCACAACACACATTTGCTATACACCCATAATGGAGACACCCACAGTGATACAGTGAAAGGATTATGTAACAGTCAATTTTCAACCCAGGTTTCCAACTTTCAGAGTTGTTGAGACACACTTGAAAATGTGGGCAAAGATCCTAGAAAAGGTAAGGTAGGAAAATAATAAGAACTGCAAAAGAAGCCATGTAAATTTAGGATTCCTTAAGCTGAGACAGATATTGACTGATTAACTGGGATTAGAAATTCTGAAGGATAGGCTCTATATTTAAGAACTACATAATTCCCATAGGATTTCAGGCACTGAAAACACATGGTGATGTCTTCCAGGCCACTGTTTTACCCACGTGGTAGATAGCGCAAAGAAAGAAAATTGCAGAAGGTTTCCAAGCTTGAGCTCACTAGAAGGAGGTAGGCTCTGAGGATCTTAGAGGCACTGCAGAAAGGAGATCAAAAAGTGAACCACTTTGCAGCTGCTAAAGACCGGTCAAGATGTTGTCCAGCATAAAAAACTCAAGATATTATGGCCCATATATTTTTGGGTATATCTAAACAGACCAACATAGTTGGGATTCTTTTTCTGATGCTTCTAAACTCAAGACCTGAAAGAAGTTACACATTTATAGTGACACTGAAACAAAAAAAAAAAATAAGTGCAGAAAAAAAAAAAATTCTTCTGAAGTGTTTCAGGCTCCACATTCATGTGTTGACAAAGAGTTAGTTATCTATAATTTAAAAAGAACACTGTATCACTGTGTATTATTTAACTGCAACAAAGGGAAATTATAGAGATATTTCCTTTTTTTCCTGGAAAATTCTGGAGGAGGGAAAAGTTGTTATGTACTTGAATTGTATAGTATTTACAGAATTTAAATTATAATTTGTACACACTTGAAAGATTTTTGTATACAAACAGTACAGTTACCAACCTGTAACTGCAAAGGACATAATAATTTAGTGGTATTAACATATTTTTTATATTTTTCAGCAAGTGAATTAATTTCAAGTTGTGTACTTTTTATTAATCATTGAATGCTTAGTCTGTAAGTGCTTAATTTGAAACATTACTGATTTGCAATATGTTTAAATGTGTTTCAAATTTAGTGTTTGACTACATTCACTTTCCTTTCTGTCATTATCCGTTGATTAGTTTACCTATAATTGAAGTCAATAAAGTCTCCTTAATGTACTGTACTGCTGTGTATCATTAAATATTGGCTGTAATCATGGAACTACTTCGATGCTTTGGAATTGCAAGAACATGTAAAGGATGCTCTGATAATCTCTTTCTTACTGCATAAACACTTAAACATCCAAAACATGAATTAGTAGCAATTTTATTTTAAATTGTAATCACTAGCTGTAATGGCACCCCATTACCTTAATTCTGGTTTAGTTGCAAAATTAGTATGTAAACAGCAAATGGAATAAACAAGCCATCTTTAAGCAACAATAACACATACAAGGAGATTCCTATTCAAATAAAATAGAGCAAAGGGCCATGTGGCAGAGCTTCATCCTCAGAGAATTAGACATTTCTTTCTGTCCTACAAGTCTGTGTGGCAGCAGAATACCAGAGACATCTCCAAAACACCAAGCATCTCAAAAGGTGTTCAGTAGAGCAAAAAGTAAATCATATGCTAAAAAGTTTTGCTCAATCAAGGTCTTAATTTGTCCACATCAGTTCAGCATAGTCCTAAAAATATTGTGAATGAAGGTCATCAGATTCCTAAGCTTACTTTAGCAGGTCTTGTAATGGGTAGGATAGCAGGAATATGATTTAAAATGGCAGGCTGATCAGAGGGCTGTTCAACTAGCCAACTACAAGAAATGGAGCAGTTAAGGGAAGGGATAGTCACCTTCTGCTTTGCACTCACTTGACCACATCTAGAATATTGCATCCAGCTTTAAACCTCCCCCACCACCACCAACACTACAATAAAGGCAGGAGCTCAGGAGAAGGCTTCCAGAATCATTAAGATTGTTGTTCACCCTGAAAGGAGAGGCTGAGGGACCAGATCTTGTTGAGTCTGGAGGAAAGATGGCTTCAGGGAAACCTAAAAAACCAATAAGGAGCCACACTGATGAAGCCATGTGCTTGAAAGCACTGAGTGGGAAGAAGACAAGACAGTAGCGATAAGACGGAAAAACATCATAGTGGAACTGTTTTTCCGTACAAGTACAGTGGTGTTCGTCCTGGGAGATTGTGCACTCCATCCTTGAATGTTTTTAAATACCCATCTGGATATGGCCCTGGAAAAGGTGGCCTGATTCTGCAGCTGACCCTGCCTGAAAGGGAGGCTGAATGAGAAACCTGGTTTCCTTACAGCATGAATTAGTGTCTGATTCGGTGACATCTTTTAATACTGTGACCTTTTAAAAAGAGACACTACCAACTACAAACAATCAGTTCAAATTTGAGAATGCCCACAGAGACAGGTAGAAAAAAATATGTGCTTATTTTTCCATTGCTGTGACCTGTCCTACCAGCAGACAAGACAGGGACAGACACTATTGCCACTGCTGGACTAAACCAGGTTTATGTTTGGCTAGCACAGATTGCTGACCAGAGATCTTTCATTCTCCTACCCTCTTCCATGTCATAGAATCATAGGATGGTTTGGGTGGCAGACTTTCACATATTTAATCAGACTTTCTTTAAAGCTGCTGTAGTACCAAAAATGAACAGTACAAAAAATTGCATTTAAGCACTCTAAGTTATGAGAGTAGGTAATGCATTTTAAATCTTTAACTATGAAATTGTTCAATTGATTCACCTGTATAAATATATTGCCACAGGCTATACATTAAATATAAGACCAATGAAGTGAAAAACTGATTTGTCACTACGATGTGTTTTACTGACAGGATATTTTTCTTCCTCAGTGAAAAATAAAAATGGAGGATATATTCCATGTTATAGTCTGGTTCTGGTATCTGAGCAATTACTTATGAGCTTAACCCTTCCTGAGGGCAGCTGACATGCAAACCCTGGAAAAAAAAATAAATAAATTATTATCCACAAAAATGCTCTATTGGTAGATTTGAAAATACTCACTTGTATCTAATAAATAAATAAATAAAATAAATCTTGTATGTAAATATTTATAATTGCTCAGAGGAATTCATCTAGAAAATTTCTTCTTTGTTGTAGCCTTTTATTTGGTTTCAGTAGGTCTTCAACTAGCAGAGTAAACATTTTGGTCTGGCTTCATCACAGCTATTTTTGCACAAAAATACTGCTTGTAAATATGCTACACTATCCAATAAATGAGAACTTCTGCTTCCATTCATCGGACAGAAAGCAAGAAAACTGGAAAAGAGTTCAGATTCTCAATTATTAGCCAGTTTCCTTGTCACCTAGTCTGTAGTTTCCTGAATCTTCTTTTTTTACCTTTCATGTAGAATGTAATGATACATTCCAGTCACTCTTCCTCTCATCTGGAATTTTTCTTGACCTCTATAATCTTCCAAAAATTATAGAGTGACTTTCCAATGACAATGTTCAGCCTTGGATGCATCCTATAAATTGCCAACAACATATGTCTATATGGACATCATTGTAACCATTCTATTAGTGGCATGCTTATTCTTTTCTTCTTGGCATAGATCTAGGCTGACCTTATCTGTGAAGATAAAAAAGAGTAATGTAAAAAGAGTAATGGTCTGTCCTTTTCGACTTCTTTGCCAACCTCTTTCTGCAGCAGTTGCTCAAAAGCTCAAAGCTTTTTCCTTATTTGCAAACAATCATCAGTTATAGAAACACACCCACTCTAAATATTTATGCTAAATATTTATGCAATTTCCTGTTATTTAGAGTAAGAATACCAGTTTTAACTTCTAATGACTGGAATCGCTTCTACTTTGACAAAGCCAGAGATTATTCTTGGAAAAAAAAACCATAATAAATCTGGGTATTGTCCCAGAAAGTTTAAATTAAGATTTAACAGTTTGATTCTTTCATTCAATTTTTCTCAAGCAGATTACACTCCAATTGCATTTTATCTTCTTTGTTTTTATTTCACCTTCTTGTATAATTTCATTTCTGTTTGGCAATACTACTTTATAATTTTCTCCAGTTAAACAATATCCCTTTCCAAATCATCTAGTTTCTGCTTTGAAATCTCCTGACTAATGTATAATAGGAGATTACACCACCTCTTGAAGCCAATTTACAGGCTTACCAAAACATTTCTGGAAAAACCTAGCATTCTTATTTTTATGTCTTTCCCAAAAGAAGGTCAATTAGTTTTGGCAGGCTTTGGGATCTCATAAAAGGGATAGGAGATTTTTATGATATATTTTTAGATGCAGAAGGTTTCAATTAGATGGTAAGGGTGAAAGAGTCACAGTTGAGGATATGGGGGTTTCTGTCCTAGCTGCTGGCCTAAAATTATATGATGCATCACCAAAGCAGAAAGCTCACTATTTTACTTTCATATCGGACCTGTATTCTTCCAAGATGGAAAATGTTACACTAAAAGATGCCAATATCTCTGCTCATTTTCCATGTATAAAACAAGAAATCCCTGTCCTATTCATTTGACTGACACAGAACATTATATAAAATATTTCAATGCTATAAAGAATTATGATTCCCTTTTTGTTTTCTGCTATTTTTTATACCTCTAGACACGTCAAGACAGGATTCTAAGTATTATACAACATAGCAGTGGCTCTTGCTCCATCTCTAGGGGTAAACATTTGTTGCAGCCCTCCATGGACTAATTGGCAGGGGTGAGGAAGTTGTTGCAGGAGCACTGAGCACGAGTCTCAGGGTGGAAGACAGCTCAGAAAGGCACCGCCCCAGCTCTGTGGGACCCTCTCTTTCAATCACCTCTCTCCTGTCACAACAGCCAGAATGGCTGAGACAGAACATGCTTCTGCCTAGTCCTCTACCCAATCAATACTGTCTAGTTGCTTGATTTAGTTAATTATTCAGCTAAGATATACTTCATGAGTGAGTGCAACAGGTTAAAGTCTGCACAAAGCAAAGCTCTTGAAAATGAGATCTTCACTACACTGCCCAGATATAACTCCTTACACAACTGAAACAAAAAATATAATGGTACACTTAATTTTAAGTAGTACCTGAGATTAAATCAGTAGTGAAATAGCATTTTTTGGTTTGACTACTGAAGACATAATCAGAAAAGCAAGATGCACAGGAAATGTTACAACTCTAGCATTTATCAGATCATACATGAAACAAATACTGCAAAGTAGATCTCCTTAAATTGAATGGAATCATTGGCAGTAACTATCAAGGTGTCTCTGCATGCATAAGAGGCTGGGATATGAGATCACTAGGATCTGAATGAGCCATAGACAGCTGGTTGTAGCTGAACATGAAATTCACTTAAATTTCATTGTAGTTAATTGTTTTAAGAAATAAACGAGGAAATTGCTTTCTTACCTCCTCTCTCAAAATTACAGTCTAGATGAAACAAATACTTTGAAGACGATGGCTTCTATGAAGGAAGTTATAACTTAAAGGAAGGAGATTGCTTACACAGCAGGATACAAACTACAGCAATTAAAAAAAAAAAAAAAAAACCACAACTTTTGGCTTATGTAGCAATTCTGCCAAACAGATGATTTGTAAGGAAATATAGTATACCTGCTGCAGTTTGTCACTGGCGCAATTTATTTCCAAAATCTATGTAATATGCATCTACTCTATTCCTGAATATCTAACAGATCAGCATAGAATTTGAGAGAGAAAAATCAACTGCACTGTGCATACTGCTTTTTTCCATGCAATAGAAAGTTTGGAAAAATATGTTAATATCAAAATCACCAAAGGAGAAGGAGACACAGAGATCTGAGTGTCTTCAATCTAAACCTGCCAGTTTCAGAAAACCTGCATCTCTGATTTTCATTGCTATCCTGGGGAAGACAGTAATGTCAGGGTTTTAAGCCACTATGGTGAACATTAAATTTTAATGTTCTTGTGGAGCTTTAAGTGCATTTTTTTCTCCATGTAACAACAACAGCAACAACAAAGAGGAAGAAGGAAAACAATAAAAAAATCTCAGTCTTACCCATCAGTGTGTTCTAGCAGGAATCTTAATCTTTCATGCTTTCCTTAGCTTTTGAGAAGTCTTTTTGATCCCCTTAAGTACAGCAAGAAATAGTGAAGCATTTAAAAATATTGCTCTGGAATCTCCTCTTTCTTTTCTTTTAAAGTTGAAAATGCATTTAGGTTAAAGATTTATTGTTCTACTTGGTTGAGTAAGCCAGATGGGTTTTAAAGGAAGTCCTGAATTGTTTCTACATCTGAGTGATCTGAAGCTTGACGAGGCCCAGCTCTTGGCAAGGGGACACTCAAGGAGAGATCCTTAGGCAGAAAAAAAATAATCACCAAGATGAGTAAATATTAATGATTTATTAATGAGTAAAAAATTAATTATATGAGTAGGTTGTAGAAGCTGTGATTGGATGATTTAATTTTGAAGTTGTTTGTTTGCGGGGAGCCCTTTAAAATTGACTAGATAAAGGTTTGTTAAATGACAGCTACTACTGATTCAGTTCAAAGTAGGCAAAGTGAGATAAGATCATTATTTTAGTCTTCTAAGAGATCTTCACACCTTCATTTCTGTGAATAAATTAATAACTTTACTCTTCTCACCCCTCTCCCCATCATCTTCATCTCACTCATCTTTCTCAAACTGCTATCTACTAATGTATACTATCTGTCCTCCTACAACAGCTGATGCTGCTTTTGTAGTATTCTTGTGAGCTGCTCAGGTCTCAAGAAATAGGGAATCCTGAGGGCACTAGCTCTTATGACAAACAGATTCTACTCTGGCTGACAGAAGGCACCTAAATCTTTCCATAACATCCTGATAATTTTTTTGATGATCACAACCAGCAGATGCAGATTTACTGATATATAAAAAGATGAAGATTTAAATCTAGTCAGCTCTGGCCAGGTGTCACGATTTAAACCCAACTGGAAGTAAAGCCCCACACAGACTCTCCTCTGTCCCTACCCTCTCTGTTGAGAAACATACAAAAGGCAAAGATTATGGGTTAACAAAACAATTCACTGGAAACAGCAAAGAGTTAAGAAAATGAGCAGTAACAGCTGCAATATTAGTAACAGTATTAAAAGAGGGTGATTACATGCAAAATGTTGAGTCTGAGGCAACATGACTGCAGACAGCACCATCCCACTGCTCCCTCCACCACTTTTTTTCCCAACCAGAAAGGGACTTCCACCTCTTCAGAAACAAGGAGAGAGTTCTTTCCCCCTTGCCTCAGCAACGAAAAACAATGGCTGACAATGGGACCACCATTACCCCACCTCTCCCTTCTCTACTCACTCCCATGGAAAAGGACAAAGTGTCAGCAGATTCTTCATGCCCCACTTTTTTTCTCCACTCCAAGCCATGCCCCCTTCTTCTCTGAAGTGAGAATCACTTGCTTCCACCCCTAGAGATGATGTGAATGGTAGAGAATAACAACCTGCACACCCACATAGCTCCTAAAGTCCTTGGCCAAAAATAGGGTATCAGGTCATACAACATTCATTTAATATTCCTTAGACTTTAATACCCAAATGAGTTCTGCATCAGAATCCTCAACTCCCACAACGAGAATCTTTCTGTAATTGTAAATTCTAGCCCATCTTTTTGACACTGTAGTTTCTGAGTGCTAACCAAATCTCTACTATTTTCTTCCAGCATCTATGAAAAACAGATTCTTTGTTTGTCTGAGCTTTTTTTACAAAGTGCAGCTCAAGAATTTGGTGACCAGTGCAATTTGGAAGATTTTTTCTTAATTAAAGGGTTTCCTCCAATTCTGTCTCTCTAGAGAATTAGACCGGTGTTTTCAGTGTCTGCCTTTGTATTCTACACCTGCTCTTCTCTCACTTCCCATTAACATTAATGTTTTTGTCCCAGCCACTAACCTGTACCTCATCTTCATTTATACTTCTTCTCCTAAAAGTAATTTAAATATTGTGATTAGTGAGTTCTTTCCAAGACACACCTGAAAAGAATTATTCAATGCCTTTCTTTTCAACTGTGGAAGTTTCCCAGTGGTTCACTGTTGAAATATTCACATTTCCTCTAGGCAATCCCTTCCGTGTCAGCCTGTTGAGCGCTTTTAGGTTTGCAGACAGAAGCAAACTTGCAAGACATGCAGACAGCTTGTGAGCTAAAACTCCTGAGCTTTGAGGGGCTTGTTTGCCTGCAGGGTGAACACAGTTCACTGCAGATCTACCAAAGTTCCATTTTGTTAATAAATGTACAGCATGTAGCAGCTAAATGAAAAATGAAATTCAGTAGTAATTCCTGAAGGACCTCAGGGATGCATTACACTGACAGAATGCCAATTTATATCTTTAATAGGATATTATACTGGTGAAACATCAAAATTATTCTATATGGATGCATGTCACAACATGCTGAAGCATCCTTGTGGTTAGAAGAGTAATGTAGTCATAATAAAAATCCCAGTTTTACCTTTTATCTTTCTAACTTGACTGTATATCTGTTGGTACTAAAATACAGCATAGAAAAATCAGATTTTTAGTCAAAAAAAATTCAAGAAATTCTCAAACATAAGAACTCCTAAAAGACACTTCACTGACTCCATTATCAAGGTTTAGAGTTGCCCTGTCTCATGGAAGAAATACCATGACTGCTTTAATGTGTATTACTTCTTGTGGAGACAAATGGCTTTGCTAGGCTTTTTGTTATTTTATTTTCTTTATCTGCTTTGTGCATGCAGCCAATTTTGAGGGAGATTTTGGTCACCTTTTAAGTAGTCATGCTGCATGAATTGGCAACATTAACCACTTCTCATACCCTGGGTACTGATATATTTTGGATATAAGCTGAGCTGTAGCTTCAGGCTGCAGCACTGATGGATTATTGACTTAAAAATTAGTTTACCAGTGTGATGAGTAAAACCAGCCAGCAGCCAAGCATCCACATAGTTTCTCTCCACCACCCTACCCAGCAGGCTGGGAGAAGGACTACAAAGAGCAAAAGCAAGAAAACTCATGGGCCAAAATAATTAATCAGTGAAGAAAAAAGGAGGGGAGCAGGGGGAAAGAAAGAAAATAAATCATGCACAGGAAATCACTCACAACCTCCCTAAGCCCCTGATTTATTGCCACAAGTGAGATTATATGATATAGAATATCCTTTTGGTTTAGGTCAGTAGTCCTGGCTATGTCCCCTCCCAATCTCTTGGCCACCCCCAGCATACTCAAGGCAGAGCAGAGAGAGAAAAAGAAGAATGTCTTGCCACTGTGCAAACCACTGCTCAGAGACAGCCCAGAAATGCTTATCACTGGTTTAGCCACAAATCCAAAACAGGCAGCACACTGACTGCTATGAAGACAATTTAACTCTATCCCATCCAAATCCAATACAATCTTCTAAGCCACCACCACGGTCTGCAAAGATTGCAGGCACTGTACTGATGTTTTATACACTGATCTTCTATCTTTTATCCTGCAGTATCAAAAATTTTAAGTCATGATTTATGCTGACACTTGAACTTAATTTTTTTGCTTGGATTGACACCCTTTGAAAGGAAGCATAAACAAAAAGATTAAGTTGCTATCATGGAAAACTTGAAAGAATTTTAGTACACTGAGATTTTGGGACCTGATTTGGACCACAGTTTTAAGGTCACTTTTTTGTCTTCTCAGTATGAAAACAGTGTCATTCTCAGAAGCCACCAATAGAAGTTCATGTGGGACATTATCTAGATTATTACATCAGTATTCCAGCACACTGCAGCTGCAAATAGAGCTTCAGTGGCACTTTCCACAGATCTGCATTTCCAGTCAACAGTCACATGCAGTTACTGCTAGATTGAAAATTTAAAAAAATCTCTTTACTTGTTTTTATTTAATAAGGATACATTTTCTGTTGTTCCCTCATAACACTGAAATTTAACTCCTGGTGCCTGTAAAGAGTATCAGTAAGTGGATGATTCAGTAAGTTCATGCTTATAGTACTTACACTCTTACTTCAATCGATAATCTTGGAGAAGAAAGGAAGAAGATGCATCCTGAAGGTTTCTTTTGAATCCAGTTTAGTTTAATAATATGCAGAAGCCATTGCTATACCAACAGCTACTGAATAGTAACTGCAATTAAATAGGTCTTTTCCTAGCAGGTGTCTCTCCTTGCAATTAACTCATACCCATATTGTAAGTCTCAGGTGAGTATACAAGGAATAGGGACAGGTTATTACCATTATTACCATTACCCTAAGGGCCTGCATGTCCTAAGATTATGAATTTGCCTTTTGAATGTATTACAGTTCAAATTCAAACTGCACCCTGTTCTCTGATTAATCGCTAGACTGGAAAATTTAAGTTGTGGACTTTTTGATTTAGCAAAATGAATTAGATTTCCACTAAACCAAAACAGGACTAATTCTTACTACTTAGTTTCATCAGGGCTAAAAACAGCCCCTTCAGCCTTCCTCTAATGTGGACATTGCTTTAAAAATAATGAAACCAGTATTAAAGATCAGTATTTCAGATAAATAAGTTAAAGGTTATTTTAACCAATAAGATGGTTTTAAGATGTATTATCTGATGCAGACAAATTTTCACATTTAGACAAGTATAGTATTTTATGTAGCAAAAGATGTAAGAAAATTTAAGGTGTACTTTAGTATGAAAACCTAAGCATGGTTTTGGCTGAATATGATTATATAATTTAATACATAATATTAATTATAATATATATATAATTGTCCCCTTGCATAGAAAGGATATAATAATTAGTATATGGAACCTACCATCTGTGGGAGAAGGGAGGTAGCAGGCAGTATGCGGTCACCAGGGAATATTCTCAGTTTCAAAACAAAGCAGAAATATTCTCTTTGTAATGACTGCCGAGGAATGCCTAGAGAGTAGAGGTCACTGGCACCTCAGTTAGCTCTTGCTTCTAATGGCTCTTTTAGAAAATGCATTCCTTTGAGATGCAACAAAATCAATTCACAGAACTGGTTTGGCTTGGAGGGAAGCTCTGGAGGTCATCTTGTACAACCTCCTGGCTCAAGCAGGGTCAAATTCTCACACACTGTTTTGAGCAAGAGAAATAGTATTGCAAGAAAAGGAGCATCAACTCTTCTGTTTTCCTCTCCTACCTCTTAATTTCTCATAAAGAGATGTAAAAGCTAGACAGACCTAGAATAGAGATGTTCTAAATATGAAAACATGATACACTTTCTTCTTCCACCTACTGTGCTGAAACAACTGAAACAACTCCAGCTACTTTTATTCAGATTCTGGTCAAGTGGGGGAAAAAAAACCCTAAAGTAGTTGATTACCATTAGGAGAAGAGGGAAAAAATAGTTGGGAAGAGAATGGAAATAAGATGGTCAAGATAAAGGCAGTTTAGGTCAGCTTAGGTCAAGCAAAGGCAAAGGCCATGTTTGAAAGCAAAGTAAAACAAAAGATGTATTCTTTACTTCCCATCAGTAGGCAATGCCCAGCCACTTCCCTAGAAGCCAGGCTTCAGTGCAGGTAGTATTTGCTCCAGAAGACAGAAGCTGTAAACAACAAATTCCTCTTGCTCTCCTCTTTCCTCCTGTATTTTAGCTTTTACTGTTGACCAGACACCATGTGGTGTGGCATGTCCCTTTGGTCACATTGGGTCAGCTGTCCTGCTTGTGTCCTCTCCCAAGTTCTTGCCCACCCCCAGTCTGCTGATGGGGAGACAGTGCTGATGCTGTGCCAGCACTGCCCAGCAGTAGCCAACGCACTGGGGTGTTATCAGCTCATTTCCAGCTACCAGTGCAGAGCACAGCACTGTGAGAGCTGCTGTGGGAAAATGAACTCCTGCTCAGACAGACCCAATACATTTCCACTTGTTTTCTTCCCCTTTCCGGGTCCAGCAGCTACTGTAGTATAAGTGAACATCAGTGCCATAAAAGTATCACACCTCTTTGAACATCATCAGTTTTGTTTGAAGTGAAAGCCAAAAGTTTTAAGAAGTGAATTGAGAGGGATGATTATTTAGTATATAAAGTGCATAATTTTTGTTTTGTTTTGTAAATGTATGTTCTGATTTCTTTAAATCTGGTATATCACATTAGAAACCAAATTTCCAGAATTTACATTGTTTCTGTGCTGCCATATTTTTCCCTCCACATGGCAGTAGAAAAAGGACAGGACAAAAAATATTGTGCCAAACAATATTGAAGGCTAGCATTTCTAACATTTGAAATTATCACAGTATAGAGCTCTACATTTTGTATCAAAAAACCTGTACCTGAACTTGCTAGCATCCCTTAGACAATGTCTATTTGAAGCCTTGAGATGTAGCAACAGCTACAGAATTAAAAATAAATTCCAAGGTCAACTGTAGTAGAAAATGTTTTACTAACACCTAAAATAATGTCCATTCATTCTTTACTAAACATTACATTTAGCCATTGCAGAAACTAGTAGGACAGCAATGTATCTTTCAAAGGTAAATAACCATACTATAACACAATGATATGTAAAACATTTTAAAGTATAGTTGTTGAGCCCTAGTATTTATGAGAGAGAGAAAGTTAAAGCATTATGCTACAGGGAAAAAAAAGCAATTTAAAATACCTATACATATTGAAATTCCTGACATGATAGGCTTCATATGAAGTAGTCTGAGGCTGTAATGTACTTCTAAGTCTAATACAGCTACATTACTTTTTCTTTAGTAAAGTGTTCTTCAGTGTTCCATAGAGCAGCCACAGAAACTGCTTATTACATGTTTTACATATATATTAATGCTGAAGACTTGTCATGGAAACCACCTTACTATAGCAAACCATACTTAAAGATAGTTTGGATATTTTTTAAATTACATTGGAAGACAGCATCACTACAGATACACATATGTGCTTTTAAATTACATTGAAGATAATTTTATAGGCCTTTGACTATGACTAGAGTCTATTAATGTTATAATTTTTTAAAGGTCTCTCAATTCCTGTACATCATTGTGTTTCAAGTTGGGAATTCAACAGAAAAGAGGACAGAGAAAACAAAATGCAGAACAAATGCTTTGGTCATTAAATTGTCATTTTCCTTGTATCCCACTGTCTAGAGCAATGTGTGATAGCCATTTCCCTGAAGGACTTCAAAACCACCCACAGTAAGGACAGCTGCTGACATTTGATAATGTAAACATGCAGAGAGAGAGTGGAATAGTCTAATATTGAGATGTATATTATTGTTCTTTGGGTTAGCATGTTAGTTACAGACTGTGACTGTGACTAATCCTTCAGGAGACAGGTGTTCATTAAATTCAACCATAATTCACTAACAAGACTAATTATTAAAAAAATAAAAAATTAAAAGGTGAGGAAGGTAGAGAGGCAAGGTAAGGATAGTTGTAAACAAAATCATTTGCTATCTCAAGATAGATGGTTTTAAGTTTAATATTTTGTAAAAGTGGACAATCTCAGAAAGACTAGTTCAACAAAGTAGCTCATTGAAATATTTCAGCTCTTTGATTCAATGCTTGACAAATGGAACAGACGTGGTTAGTTTTGGTCTGCAAGTGTGATGTTTGCATCGATTTTCCTTTGCTATGAGGATCATTGCTGAATTTCAAAATGGAAACTGTCATTATCACTCCATTCCTTCATATTTCCCACCCTCAACCATAACTTCACCAATTGCCTTTTTTAATGAAGAAAAGTGATGAAAAATAGTGAGCTGTCAGCAGCTGTTTTCCCAGCTACAGATCTATGCATGAAACCACATATTTATTATTCATCTGTTCTTCTCTCCCAAACTGTCTTTAAAAATAACAATTTATTTTTGAACTACTCGTAGCAATATTTAACCACTGAACCCTTTAATTACTTAAACTACTGACAAGCAGGGCTCACTCAAATGCTGAGATAATAGTTTTGTACATGCAAGCTGAATTAAAAGGGTAAATGAATGAACCTTTCAATTTTTAATAACCTGCCAGTTTTAAGTAGAAGCTGACTGTTCCTGAATGGTAAAGATGCCACATAAATAAATACATGTGTGTGTGTGTGCAGGTATGTATATATGTACAGAAGTATCTATTTCCTTGACCAAGTATTTTGTGTTCAGCTTTTTTTTCAGCTATTCCTAGGAAAGGTGCACACCTAAACTAAGGTTGTCACCTACACGGCTTCCTGGTATACTGAAAAAAACTGTCACCTGCAAAGGACACGTGACATCCTAATTTAGCACAGGATTGAATACATACAAAAAGGGTTTAACTTTCCCCTTCAGCTAAAGAGGAATCTTAGATTTCTTTTCAATGATAGACACTTCCTTTTAGAGAGATAAAATGCTGGGACAACCCCACAGCATTGCTCAGAAATATATAGACAGAAAGTGGATCTGTAGTATGGTCAGATTCCCTAAATCCTTATATTTTTTTGGCTCTTAAACCTAGTGTAAGTCTGTTTTGGATTTCATCAGCATTATATTATTTATAAGTGCCAAATACTCAGGATACCATGAAAATAAATGGAACTGCAAAGCAGGGATACAAATTTTTATTCTGAGTTGCAACTTGATGTGAAGAAAGCAGATTTAAGATCCGTGTGTATGTCACATGGGACTCTTCAGAGCCATCAAAGCTCACAATTCCTCTGGACTAGGACTTGACAGAGACCAAGGGAGGCCAACCTGATGCACTCCACAGTCTTTAGGCTACAAAGAATTCAGGGATCCCTATATTTCAGATCTACTTTGTTCCTTCTGTCTCACAGGAAGGGATATGCATGTGTTCTTACCAACTAAAACACACAGAGATCATCTTCATGCACCAAAAGCCCACGAAAACCACTTTTTTCACAGAAATAATCTTTCATCCGAGGTTTTATGGAATATAAATGCATTTCCTGCTAAGGCCCTATTTATTTACCATTTCTCACCTCACTCTCTAGTGAGAAAATAATAAATAATAAATAAATAAATAAATAAATAAATAATAATAATAATAATAATAATAATAATAATAATAATAATAATAATGCCATGAGAGACAGGAATGATTTTAGGGTCTTCTAAAATACACTTTTCCTACTCCTATAATAGAAGTGATGATTTTTTTTTAATAGAAC